CTGTTTAAATTTATTTGTCATTCATGGGAAGAAATAAAAATATGCCATTTGCAATAAAATTTTCCTAAGAAAATTTAATCGGTTCAAAGAAGGCCAAGTAGAATGGTTAACCTTCCCCTCATCAAATCTGGCCCTCTTTGAAAAAAAGGTTTGGACACCCCCGATTTATAAATTCCATAACACATTCCAAAGAAAATCGGCGTTTCAGCTTCCCCTCCCGAGTATAGTGTACTGATGATGGGAGAGGTGGACTATGACGATGACAAATATTCATAAATTGGGATAGCATTTTCTACCAAGGCACGGTGGAGTAATGGATAGGGGCTCGGATTGAGGAATCGGAGAGTCGAGTTCGAATTCCAGTTGAATCCATTACATTCATTTACGAGCTAATACCCTTGGGGAAGGTGTGAATTCTCTTCTTCTGGGTTTTATATAACCTTGGATATAACTGGTCTACCGCAAAAAGAAATGGCAAGCTACTGCGGGTAAAAAAATTGCATCGTCAGTCATGTATAGAAAGATACATGATCCTAACCTACTGCGGGGAAAAATCTGCATCGTCAGTCATGTATAGAAATATACATGATCACCTAAGCGTGTATCTAACGTATATAAGTAACTATTAAATACCACGAAATAGGACTTAAGATTTCCAAAATAGAAAATTGAATTTGGAATGAAAGCACTGATCACATCTATTCCGAACATCGACTAGACTTGAGAAACCTGCGGAAAAAAATTTAAATGATTTTTTTTTTAATTGATTTTCTTTTAATTTTATATTTTATAAATTTCAACCGAAAGCTACTTTCGGTTGAAATTTATAAAATATAAAATTAAAAAAAAAATCAGTTTAAAAAAGTCTGGTCGCTCGCTCAGCGAATGTCGAATGTTTCTTTATAAGGAAACGGCTAATATTGTTATGAACATTAGCAATTTGCTATATTCATAGCAAAAGACTCAATGATAGAGTTTTTAAACATATAGACAGTGTGGACATAGGAATCATCACTGCATTGTAACAGTTTGTTTCATGCTTCAATACTGAAGTCTGAAGACTGCATTGAGGCTTGAAAATGAGATTCACCAGGCTGCATTAATTCTTTATCTCTCTCTATCTCCATATATATATATATATACATATATATATATATATATATATATATATATATATATATATAATATATATTGTTATGGGGTCCACCCCTTTTTCATACAAGTGGACTCGACCAGTGTGTACTTGGACTGCTGCCGTTAAATATCCAGAGTCAGTCAGAGTAGAGAGAGTAGTGATTGTGATTGAGTTGGAGGTAGAGTAATAGTGTGAGGTAACCGCTTGTAGAAGTCACAGTTGTGAGCACGTAGACGCTAAGGAAGTCCTACGTCGAGACTGAATTTACCAGACTGTATATATATTATTATTTTTACTTACCGCGTTTCTGGATCTACTAACCGTATTACCAATTGTATTATTGTGTAAATACATTTATTTGTTATATTTCATTCCTGCGTTTGTCATTCATTTCATCTCGGAATCCACAACATATATGTTATATATGTATGTTATATATATATATTGATGCATGTTTCATTAAATAATATAGACAAGTTTTGTCTATTTATTTTAAATAAATTCCTTTCATATTGTTTGATAAGCTTAATAACATTATCATTGAAAGATGAAAGAAAAACACCATATTGATACATGTTTTCAATCCTATCCAAGCTTTCTGCCATTATCAAAGATGACAATTACATTTCAATATATTAAACAATACACAGACAAAACAATAATGATAGTCTGTTTTTGTTGCATGAAAGATTTCCAAGGAAAGACAAACGAGACCCGGAAGAGAAAAACCGCAGCTCGTGACGTCACACATGACCACGCGAGAGTGAGAACGAGAAGTATTAAGTATTAATGATTCTTCCCCCACTCCGTTAGGGATTTGCAAAAAAAAAAAAAAAAATAACATAATTTACAAATTCAAGTGCCCTTTGGAAGATTGTATCTCCAATGGATTGAATAATATTTATGTCGGTCACATTACAAACTCGCTTTCACGGCGCTTGACTCTACATTTGAATGATAATTCTAACATTTTTAGGCATTTAAAACAACATGCCTGGCCGCATACACAATTCCGGAAAATCCTTGTTGAAAACACAACTATACTTAAACATGAAAACGATAAACAAAAACTGAAAATTCTTGAAGCTATATACATAAAACAGTTGAAACCTAACCTGAACAAAATAAACTATGAAATCTCCACAAATATTCTTAAATGCCTATAATTGATAACAGAAGCTTCCCATACTTAATACTTCTCGTTTTCACTCTCGCGTGGTCAAGTGTCACGTAACGAGCTGCGTTGCGATTTTTGCTTCCTTTTGCGATTTTACGGAATTGTGTGTGTGCCTGCCCGCACACACAATTCCGTAAAATACTTGTCGAAAACACAATTATACTTCGACATGAAAACAATAGACAAAAACTAAAAATCCTTGAAGCATTATACATCAAACAGTTGAAACCCAACCTAAACAAAATCAATTATGGCATCTCTACAAATATTCTTAAATGTCTATAATTGGTAACAGAAGCTATTGTTTTATACCATGGCTTCCCATACTTCATACTTCTCCATTCATTCTCGTGTGGTCATGTGTGACGTCATGAGATGCGGTGCAATTTTCGCTTCTAGCGTCTTATATGCACGTGTTTATCGTTGCTTAGAAATCATCTATGTAAACAATCACAGACTATCATCACTGTCTTGTCCGTATATTGCTTAATAATTTGTAATTGACATCTTTGATAATGGCTTATGTAAGCCGAAAGCTTAGATTGTATTAAAAAATATGGATCAATATTGGGAATTTCGTTCTTCGTTCAATGATAATGTTATTAAACTTATTAGACGTTATGAAAAGAATTTATATAAAATAGACAACACTTGTCTATATTATTTAATGAAATGTATATATATATATATATATATATATATATATATATATATATATATAGAGAGAGAGAGAGAGAGAGAGAGATCCAATTCTTCTTGCCTCAACTATAGATTAATTAGCAGGACTTGTATCAGTAAATCATTATCTCCAAAATATTTTCACAATCTAAAAAGCATTTCTGACTTCAAATAATCCTCAAAAGGTTGATAAGCTGTAAAAAAAATCTATCTGTCTATCTATTTATCTATCTCGCTTGAATATGGCCAATAGGCTCACATCCTCGGTCACGCTGGCCTTGTGCAAACTATTATAAAACTGTTTATTACACCTGGTTATGCGCTCTCTCCCAGAAACTGTAACTAAGGTCTGCTCAGCATAGTTGCAGTATAAACCACAGGTGGGCTCTGTGGGTGTTGAATGAACACAAATGTGTCCAGACGATGCGAGCCGACAGTCATATACAATCGTCTCTCGCCACTTACTTCAAACTTCAAATTTTGACACACACACACACACACACACACACACACACACACACACACACACATATATATATATATATATATATATATATATATATATATATATATATATATATATATATATATCTAAGTAACGAAAATCTTGGTAATCCGTACGGATAATCCCAAGGAGAATGAAATCCTGAGAGCTCAATGTTAAGTTAGAGCGAATTAATTTAAAGAAAAACAGACCACTTTAAGGCTCCATTTGTAATAATTTATTTCACCAGAGAATTTTATTTTTCTCTGGATCTTCAGACTTCACTTTCACAAGGTGAAACGAAAAATAAAATTAAAATTCACACTTTTGATGGGCAGTATTAAGCTTAAATAAGTTGACATAGAAGGTAGTGAGGAATAGTGTGAGAGACATGGTCGAGTTTAGAGAGGGGACGGAGAGTTTTAAAATTTATTTTTATATTTCTTTTCATTATAGTACTTAATATTGAGGAATGAGGGTGTAAGGATCAGACAATGACCTATTTAATCGGTCAACACAACGGAAATGATATGGAAAAAGGAAAAAAGGGAAAAAGAAAAAAGTGGGGAAGTAAAGAAAAAAGAGATGTACGTAGGGTTTTTGGGGGAAGGATTATATAAATTTATTTGAAAAATGGTCTTATTGTTTCCTGTCCTTTTTACATCGACACCCGTCGTAGTCCAGGTAGTTCCACTAGTTTGATTGCCAAGTATTAAACTAACGAGTGCTAAAAATCTTGCTATGTTTTTTTCAGCGGCTCATAATATTGCCTCTGTTTCTGTGTGTTTTTGTGTGTGAGCCTATGTGTATGCTTGTGCGTATGTGTCGGTGTACAGTTGTGTGTGTATTCACTCACACAGGCATTAATAGATAGATCGATAGATAGAAAATTAAGAGAAAGGAAAAAGAGACACAAATATATAAGATAGATAGTCGGCACTTATCAATACAAAATTAATTATTATCGATTTAACAAGTTCCCTCGATAGCTCTACTTTCAATACAGATTAGGTAGCAATCAATAATATCACCTGCTGAAGGTCGGAGAACTGTAAATAAGAATAAAAGTTATTTAGACGCAAGGGAAAGAAAGAAAGAAAGAAAGAAAGAAAGAAAGAAAGAAAGAAAGAAAGACGTAAAGCAAGGGAGAAAAAAGAAAAGAGTGAGAGTAAAATACTTATAGAAAGAGTGAAAAGGGAGAAAAAAGAGAGTGAGTGAGAGAAAGAGACAGTAAGAAGGAAAAGAATGAGCGGTTAAAGAACGGATTAAATAAGTGATAGAAAGACAAAAAGAAAATAGAGAGGGTAAGAACGATACGAAAGAGAAGGGAGAACGAAATGCTAGTGAGAAGAGAAGCGAGAAAAGAGAACAAATTTAAAAATAGCGAGAGAATGAAAAACCTGGGAACAACAGCAGTTAAAAAGTGTTTCCACGCTTCTCACAACCTCCAGTCCCCCGATCAGCGGTCTTGCTGCCGGATGTAGTTTATCGTCACACCCAGGGGACTCTGTTTTTCGTTACTGTTGATGTCTCAATTTTCTCTGCCTTCTTTTATCTCCAGTTCATTTGATCCGATTTTTAATTCTATTATTTTCAATTCACTTTCAATTTTTCCCTTTCTTTCTTTCTTGCTGCTTCATCTTCTCCATTGTTACACAGAGAGACGAGGTTCGAGAGAGATTTTCGTTTGTAGGCAACAAAGTATACCTTGGAAAAATTACATAGTGAGCCATTTTTATGCAGAAAGAGTTCCGACGTTCCCTTGAAGATATTTAGAAGGCTTAGCCTTGTCTGACACAAGGTTACTATAATAAGGCATCCGTTGAAGAACAAAGATATAAGTATTGTCTGGGAGAATGGCTACTTGAAAAGAAAATATTGTTTTGCACCAAACTTTCAAAAGTTTCGGTTCACTTGAGATCAGAATTAACTAGGTCTGACCACTTATCAATAACAGCGATGGAAAATAAGCAACGACCTCAGCCACCATGCTTTGCTCTATAATTGAAGATAAAATAATTAGTTTGTGTTGCATTTGCGAAGTCTTTTGTTTTTTCTTTCTTTTTCTTTCATTTTTCTTATATTTTTGTGATCTTTTCTTTTTACACGCTTTTTTTCTTTTTCTTTCTTTTTCCTTTTTTACGATCACTTTCTTCTTGTTTCTTTCTTTTGTTCTTCTTTCATGATCTTTTTTATTTCTTTTTTTCTTTTTCACAATCTTTTTTTTCCTTTTACTTTCTTTCTTTTTTCGCGATATTTTTTCTTTTTCTTTCTTTTTTCAAAATTTTTCTTCCTTTTTTCATAATCTTTTTTCTTACTTTTTTTACTTTTTACGTCTTTTTTTCTTCCTTTTTTCTTTTTTCACGATCAATTTTTTCCCGTTTCTGTTTTTTTCACAATCTTTCTACTTTCTTTTTCTTTTTGTTCTTTTTTCATGAACTTTTTCCTTACTTTTTCTTTTTCACGAGTTTTTTGTCCCTATTTCTTTCTTTTTCCACCATCTTTTTTCTTTCTTTTTCTTTTCAACGTTCTTTTTCTTTCTTTTTTCTCTGTCGTGAGCTTTTTTATTCCTTTTTTCAAGATGTTTTTTTCATTTTTTTTCTTTCTTTTTTTCTGTTTTCACGATCATTTTCTACCTTTGTCTTACTTCTTTTTTTCTTTTTTCATAATCTTTCTTCTTCCTTTCTCTTCTTTTCTTTTTTCACAATGGTTTTCCTTCCTTTTTCTTTCTTCTTTCTTTGTTCCACCGTCTTTTTATCCTTACTTATATATTTTTCTCATTTATTATGCATTCTTCAGTCTTCTTTGGTGATAATGGAAATATCACAATCTAACAGAATCCCGCGACTCTTTTCTTTAAAAAATGGTTTTCTATTGTGTCCTGGAGTTGTGGAATTGGAAATTCATTAAACTTTCTTCTGGCAATAAGGATTAACAAGAAAACAGATTCCAGCACTATTCCATGTTTCACTGATACAATCAAAATGGTGCTTACTAGTGGTCAATCCCGTGACCCTAGCAGACTATGATGTTCTGAATAAAAGAAAGAAAGATTAAAAGAAAATCATTCAAGAGACAGAATAGTGCATACTCATGAGGAAGGCCGAAGAAAATAACCGTCATAATGTTTTTATTAAAATTGAACCCCAAAAAATCTATGAAAAAGAACTAAAGTTTCGTTCTTCCTCAGGCAAAGCGTCATTATTTCCTGAGAGAAAAGTTACAGCGAGTGAGAACGAGATTAGGTTAAAGATATTCATCCGGTTTTCAGTACCAAATAATTTTTTTTTTATTTACGTCGCTAAACGTAGGTAAGAATATATTTGTGCCACTTGAGAATGTTACGTTTGGTCAACGAGGGAAAAAAAAAACGTTCACTACGTTTTACTAGTGGCGAAAAATTTGTTTGACTGTCCTGAAACCAAAATGGAACCTCTAGCGTCTGTTCCATTCAGCCCTCCTGTGTTACATCTGATTTATGCCAGGAAGTTCAACGCACAGGAGTAGGTTCAACAAGTAAACGAGTCTGCCTACTGAAAAACATAATTTAAGGCTAGAAAAATTATATATATTACAGGTAAAAAGCAAATATACTTGACATATTCTATGATGTTTATTAATATTGCTTAATGGCTTAATAATATTCCTTCATTATAATTGTGAAGTTATACACATCTTTCTACCACATTTTATTGCTTTAACCATGCATTCATTTATTAGAAGTTAATGAGCTTGTATGTTTTAATTATATAGGTATATTTCACTATATATTAGCAGTATTAGATACACATGCACTATTCATACGTTTTATGTGCTCGCCATTTGCAGGAAGCGTGCTGAATCATAAAACGAAATTGAACCTCTAGTTATTTTTAAATAAAAAAACAATCTGTGACTTTCTGTAATAACATTCAAATCTTTGCATTCGGATAGATCAATATAGGACAAGATAATATTTTTTCTCATCGATATCTCTGAGATGAGGTATCATGATTATTTACATTATTCGGCCTGTTATCCTCATCTTCGTTGCCATATTGACAACGTTTCGGCCGTTGTACGCTCCGGCGTACTTCTTTTGATTGGACACATAGCCTAGTAGATAAAGGCGTTGGTTAGATCCAGTGACTAGACCCAAAGAGTTGTGAGTTCAATACCAGGCCACAGCAGTGGTGAACTAAAACTTGGAAAGTTGAGTTAAAGGGAAATAACTGAGACACCCGGAAGAGGCATGGCACTTGAAACTAGAGCACTCTATCCCCGTGAACGAAATAAAGGGTTCGGTTCGAAATTCCAATCACCTGAAGAAGGCCGGAGCGTACAACGAAATATGACAATGAAGATGAGGATAACAGTCCGAATAATGTAAATAATGCAACTAATCATAATACCTCATCTCAGAGATATACAGGCCGAAACGTTGTGAATATGGCAATGAAGATGAAGATAACAGTCTGAATAATGTAAATAATGCAAGTAATCATAGTACCTTATTTCAGAGATATAAAGGCCGAAACGTTGTGAATATGGCAATGAAGATGAGGATAACATTATGAATAATGTAAATAATGTAAGTAATCAAAATACCTCATTTCAGAGATATAGAGGCCGAAACGTTGTGAATATTGCAATGAAGATCAGGATAACAGTCCAAATAATATTTTCGTTACCCTTCACTTATCCCTGTGGTTATCTATGTTGTCGTCACGTCAGTAATTTGTCATTTCATTTTTTTCCTAAACAGTGTTGTCCTCGAGTCGAACAAGAAGGTTCCATGTAGATATAATCGTATTCTGTCTTTTATTGATTATCTACTTGCTCGATGCCAATCGTAATGAAGTAAGGAACCCAGACGTTTAGCCTATTTTTACTCGGGGCTATCAACGAAAGGTTCTTACTGGGGACAGGACACACGGCACTAGCTGTAGGGTCTGTGATATTAAATTGTTAACCATTCTCTTACGGCAGGCGTCCAAAAGCAAGTCTTCTCCATTTAAAATGAACTCTTTTACTGTTATCTTTAATTAAAAAATGTCCAATCCGATGTTCCTGTCACGTTATATTCTTAGAAGTATTCGGCTGATTTGTGATGATCGTTCGGGGAGGTTGACCAACCCGATCCCGTTTATACGGGTTCTACGGGCATTTTTTTGGCCGAGCCTACGAGTTCGGGAAACCCACGTTAAACTCGGCCTTGTGCCACATGCAACCCTCGTGGGGGGGGATGGCTAGATACCGATTCAAGCCGAGCTTCTCTCGGCTTGACGGTCGAACTCTCTGCCTCTGAGCAGAGAGGAACCTGTTCGAGGATCCGCCGAAGGGCAGAGTCTCGTTCGGGGAGGTTGACCAACCCGATCCCGGGTTCTACGGGCATTTTTTGGCCGAGCCTACGGGCTCGGAAAACTCACGTTAAACTCGGCCTTTCCCTCGTGGAGTGGCTAGTAAATATCGAATCGAGTCGAGCCGATAGTAGTTCACTCCAAACCAGACTGACAGTCATACTAACACCTTCCACGTCTTGTATTATCATTTCGTGTAATATACCTTCGTTATTTTCACTCTTGTGTTCGTGTTGTTCTTCCTTGGTCCTAACCTGGACCATAACATAAAGAAAGAACATGAATTTATCAACTCAAGTATGGTGGGACATTAGCAGACCTACCAAGGGCGTAAAGTAATCATGTGTTAAAATCCAAGAGGGAGAAACATCAGAAAAAAAGTGGGGGGAAAAAAAAGAACACTTCTGATTCTTCATTACGAACAGTGGATTTTATAAGAAGATGAGTTCAGGTTTTCTTAGCCTTAACTGCTATGCAAGTAGAATAGATGGGTGCTTCTGTATAGGTGAAAGTGTGGGCCTGTTTTGTTCCTTTATTGTTCATAGGTCACTGTTGAAATTCTATGCTAAGAATTTCATCTCATGTCGCATTTCCCGTTTGTGGAACTCTCTTCCGGCTTCGCGCTTCCTTGTCATCTCTGATCTTCGGAAATTTAAATTCAACACTAATCATCTCTTCCGTCTCCTTGAATTCCGTTCTTTTATTGTCCTCTCTCAGTTTCATTCACTCTCAGTAAGCCCCTTGCATCTTAGTGGATTTTATCGTCCTATTTGACATGAAATGATTAAAAAATGTCTGGTTTATGTTCAGGGAGTCATGCACTAACATCGGATCCCTGCAAATAATGAAAATAAGGAGAGCCTCGTTTTGAAATTTTACGATTGATGTCAACTGATTAAGGCGTTACTGGTTCTTTTCTTTCTAAGCTTATTTATTTGTTGTAACTGCTACAAGATAATGATAATTCGTAGTAAATAAGAAACGCTGTGCTTAAAAACATCTTTCAGTCTCCCCGTTTCGACATTTTATTTCTGTTTTATCCGCGTTTATTTTCTTTGTTTCTGTTTTATCCGCGTTTATTTTCTTTGTTTCTGTTTTATCCGTGTTTATTTCTCCATGTTAATACCTTTTTTAAATTTGTTTATATTTAATGGACAGAAAAAAATATAAAACTATTTATAGATAATGTTTTCGAGAAATGGAAAATAAAATATTGTATAAGAGTAAATGTCGTTCCCGACACTGCGGTTCCTTTATTAAGTAGATCAGGTGATCATAGAGCAAGTGAATAAATACGAAGTAGTGTAACGATCACTGATCACTATTCCTCCTCTTGTGACTAGTTGGAATCTCTTCCAGATGTGCAGTCTAATTCTCTGCCTTCGGGCTAAAAGGAAAATTTTATAGGATATTTGAAGAGCAGAGTCTATACCACATCTACCCTCGTTTGTGAAAGTAAATATTGATTATTCCCCTCTTGAATTATATTGGAATCTTTTCTATTAATTGATCGAACTTTCTGCCTTCGGCAGGGATGAACGGACGAGGCTATGCCGAAGTGCAAAGTCTCCAATTAAAGGTCTCTCATACCCGATCCCTTTTCGAAGGGGTATACAGGATTTTTTTTTATTGAGCCTACGGAACCCAACGTTAAATTCGGCCTTGTGATACCTGTGAATGCGTGGAGCAGTTGCTAGATATAAACTATTCCTCCTCTAGATATTGTCATTCCTGGATTGAACTTAGGCAATCCCATGCGAAATTGTTAGTTAAGGGTTGTTTTTGTATCTTTACTTTATTCATTCCAGTTAACTTAGGTAGGGGATGTATGCTCATTGACCCCTTTTATTTCTCTCCCTATTTTCTTTAATTTAATTCCCCATTCCCTCCCTCGTTAGGTGGTCAATGATGTCAGTTCTTTGGTAGATGCGGGGCGCCTTTCGCTTCGGGTGCATTTTTCGTGTTCGAATGAGTGTGTGTTTAAGTGAGTGTATGGGATGAATGAATGTTTTATATTATTAAAGTCCCGCATTGATTTCGTCCATTTAACTGATGTTTCTGCTACTTTTAAGGATTGTGTTTTTTTTTTTGTTTTTTTTATTACTAACATTATTTTGTTTGGTTTCTTGTAAATAGTTTTGTTTTCATATTGTAAATACTCAATGGGGCTAGTTTTTAAATTGTTGTTTTTCCCCCTCCCCCTACAGACAATAGATTGTACATATGGTGACTAATTGGGCTTTTCATAGAAACTATTATGATGGATTTAGTAAGAAATGTAAGCAAGAATGTGTTGTTCTGATGTTAGGAATATTGTGGTATGTTTGAGTCAGTGTTTGTGGCTAAGTTTAAAGTTAAGACAGATCGGAATAGATATTTATTCGGATGTCCACTGCGCCCAAAAGTCATCGAGTTCAAATTTGTTTCGTTCAGCTATGATCGAAATCTCTAAATTAACTGCCTAAAAATCATCATTTTAGTTGACAGATCGAAATAGATATTTATTCGGATGTCCACTGCGTCCAAAATGTAACACAATACCTTTTTTTAAAGTGAAGAACCATCTGAGCATGAGACCAGAGTCTGAACATATTCCAAATTTTTTGAAGCACTTCCACGTTGTGATTAACCCAAGAAACCTGTAAGAAAGGCACAACCTCGGAAGCAAGATCTCGTAGGGTTAGAATTATAAGCTCATCACGTCATCAGGCGAAACCGTCAACACACTGGTATAGAAGAAAAATTCTACATTCATTCAATATATTTTGTCACAATCAAAAGATACGGGAATTTCATGATTAAAAAACAAATCTTGAAATATATTTTCTCTTAATATTAGTTAGCGCATCATCCCACACTAAATAAAGCTTAGTTAATATCACCGTTAATTTAATTATTAATATCATATTTATTATTAATAATATTAATATCATATCTAATTTGTTTATTAATATCATCTTTAATTTAGTTATTAATATTATCTTTAATAATAATAATATTTTCCTCTTTTTTAATTAAGTTATTAATATCGTCTTTAATAGTAATAATATTAATATCGTTTTAATTTAGTTTTTAATATCGTCTTTAATAATAATAATATAATTTTTAATTTAGTTATTAATATCGTCTTTAATAGTAATAATATCATTTTTAATTTAGTTTTTAATATCGTCTTTAATAATAATAATATCATTTTTTAATTTAGTTATTAATATCGTCTTTAATAGTAATAATATCATTTTTAATTTAGTTATTAATATCGTCTTTAATAGTAATAATATTAACATCATCTTTAATTTAGTTAACATCTAAGACGCCACTTCGAATTTCAAATATTTCCCAATTTCCGGAAAAAAATGGTGTTTTTTTTTCACTCAACTTCATAAATACTTTTCTCCATGGCTTTTGTGGATGACAGAACTGCCTTCTATTTTGTTGGAACTGAGAACGAAGCGGAATATTAAATTTGTCTTCTTGGCCTTAGTCTTTGACAATGCGATGGAAGCAAAGCTGTATCATCGGTCTAAAATCAATACTACTATTACTGACATTAATTTTCAAAAAAAATAAAAAGAAAACTGTATTTTCCCTTTCTTTTCTCGAAATATTAGCTTCTAGAGTTTTATATACCGTATGTAGTCGCATATCATGCAACCTTTGAAGAATTAATTTTGAGGCTAAATTTAACTAAAGTAAATGGATATACAGTTTGGTCAACGCCGTATCAATTTTATATCTCGTGTATAATGTGACCCCCTTAAAATTAGCTTCCAAATTAGGTCTTCAAAAGTCACATGATGCGCGTGTATATAGAGTATGATATGTGAAAGAATTCGATTGGTTTCATTCTAGAAAATAAGGACAAGCAAAAAGAAAAAATGTGTATTTAAAATCAAAGACAAAAAAGGACATTTATAGATATTTTATGATGTCAACAAACACTCGTTGCCACTTTATAATGCCAACAAATACTCGTTGTTACTTTCGTAATTCTCGTTGTAGTAGAGACTTTGTAATCGCAGATACAACTACAGTAAAGATACAGATAGTAACGCCGTTGAACAATGCTGGAGCTAGACGCCTTCGAATATCACTCGCAGTAATAGTACTTGCTCGATAATACTCGTTCGAATAGTAATCCCCGTATAGTGATCTGAATAGAGAAATAGTATAGTGAATAGAGTAGAGAATAGCGGTCCGTATAGTAGTAGAGGATAGAATAGAAATTGGAATCCAAATAGTAATAGGGGGTAGACTAGAAATAGCGATCGTTTAGATGTCACGCTATATTCTACTTATTCGTTTCTCCCATGGTCACGTGGTCTACTTAATTCAATAATGGGGTCGTCTGTGTTTGCTCACTGGCGATCTATGTTCAAACTCGAGTGTCGGCAGTGACACTTTATTCCTATATAACAAGATAACATATCTAAAATATGTTCATATGAGAAGATCAGAAACATACTAAAAGCACCTAATCTGCATATTGATGGGCTCTTTTAAAATTTAACATGTGATTTATCAGCCCTGATATTTTATGTTGTGAAAAGTCTTGTAAAATGATAAAGATGATAAATATTTAAAATATTTTCTGCCATGGTTTTTATGAAAACAAAAATGATTGAAAGGATTTATCGTATAAAAAAAGCTGTCTTTTTATTTAAATCCAATTGAAAGCACCATGTGATCTGAAATGAAAGTCAATGACAAAATTAAAAATGGCTGTTCTTTCATTTAAAACGTTTTATTTTCAAAACATTGGGAATAGAGTGAGTTCGATCCTTTTTCTGCTGCTACTCTTTTTATCCTTGATTTATTTTTTCTAAACTTAGTAAAAAATATCTAAGCATTTTCACAGATCTTCTTTTTCTACTTTCTAATCAGTTTTCTGGATAGTGTATTTTCGAGGCTCAGTTTTATATATTGTTTTGCCTTAGCTATACTTATAGGAGAAAAGTGGTCACTATCTCGAATATAGCATTTATATATATAAGTTTGTGGAAATTTAAATCAATTTATGCATTTTTTGTTAGTTTATTTTTACATTTGAAATCTAAAAATTAAATCAATGAAGCGAAAATAAAAAAATTTCAAAAGTGCAGATAGACTCACGGCTATATAAATATTTTATCAAAAACATTCTCTCTCTCTTTCTATCTCTCTCAAAAAAACTTTGTGTGTGTGTGTGTGTGTCTGTGCGTATGAATGTGCGTCTTTTCAGGAAAAATTATCAAATGATATCTTTTGTAATTGTTGTTCAAATCAAATTCAAAAATGCCATGATTTCTAATGTTTCCTTCCCCATTTACTAGATTAACTTAGCACAATGCTCTTCGGTCCATCGTCATCTTTTGTTCGCCCAAGAGAAATAAATATTTCTTTTCCCTCCGTGTGTATTGCACTTTTCAAGCCAAACGATTAATAACTTCTCCAGTATGGAAGGCCTTTCACACAAAGGTTGGACTGAATTAAGAGTTGTCATGATTCAGGAATAAAATTCAAGAGACAAACAGAAGCAGCAACATTAGAACACTGAGCGCTTTATTTCCTGTTTTTTTTTTTTTAATGAGATCGACAGGCCACGCCCATTATGACGTCAGCAGTCACCCTAACAACGCCTTCCTAATGATTCCGACAAGAAAGAAAGAGACGGAGGGCAGAGGTAATGAATTGGGAGAGACAAGTGTCGTGTAAGGGAGAAGAACTAGGGAGAACTGGGAGAACGAATAGATAGATTTCTGAAGAACAACAATGTCGGCTGATGTGCTTGGAAAGAGGAAAATACTGGAACTTTACACACGAAGACTTGAAGAATCATTCCAGGAAGCAAGTAGAAATATTATTGTGGGAAATTTACTTTATATCAGTTTTCTCCAACTTTGGCGATAACACCAACTCGTGGGCGATTGAAGCTTTTAAGTGTCTGACAGACCTATTATTACTTATTATTACTTAGTCGTAATGTCATGTATTATGACTGCTTTGCTTTCGATACAAAACTTGGGCCTGTTTTAAAACGGCATCAATGAAAAAAAAAGATTTTGGAGGAGGTGTTGCGAAATACACTTTCTTCCGCGACAGCGTTGCCAATCAATTAAATTTATCATTAGAATTCGTGAAATCTGTATCTATTTTTATCGATAGATGAAAGGGAAAGAATTGATGAATACATTTGTTGTGCTAAGTCTTATATAATATATTCTTAGTGCGTCATCATTGAATAGAATTTAGGAAATATGTTCATAAAAGACAAAATAGGAGAGTGTGTCTTGTTAAAATTGTCAATGAAATAATTTAAGAGTTCAGATGCATGTGTAAAAATGAAAGCTTTGAACTAAAGAAAGATTTATTTCTTTTCTTGACATTGATTCTTACACACGTTATAGTTTGAAAATTTTCATTTATAATTTAGAAAAGGATGAAAAATATATATTTATGTGATAGTCTGTTGTGCAAATATGTGATGTAGTTTCTTATTTCGATGAGCTTCTTTGGTTGGGTTCAGAACTACATAGTCGGTTTAGATGAAGAGACTAAAAATTAACCCCCCAAATGAAACGAGATACGATTGTTGTCAAATGGCAAAAACACATTTAAATAGCTGGATAAAAATTCAATGAAAATAAATACAACATTTTTTAGTGGGTGTTTAACAGAGAATCAATGGAAGACAATGAAAATTAAAAAAAGGTTGGAAACAGAATGACAATGAATTTAACATTATTTTTAATCTAAATAAATTAAAATCTTAATTCACATTTTTTTATTCCGAATGCAAAAGCATTCTTCCAATTAAAGAAGCAAGATATATTTGTTATGAGAATTCAATCACATCTTATCTCGATGCGATTCTAGAGTTTTCTCTTCATTGAGCTAGTATATGGCTCATTTCAATATCATCTCTCTCTTTAACAATGTTCAGATTATTATTATCATTATTGTCATCATTCTATATCATTTCATTGTAGAACAACAACTAAAATTTTAAAAAATAAAAAAAAATTTGCCTTTACCCAAATCCTTCTACAATTGCTGAAAACCAAAGCGAACATAAAAATATCTTCCTTTAAAAACATTTCTCACAGAATGAGAAAAACATTTATTTAAAAAAAAAAGATCTGCAAATTCCACAACCCCAAAATAAAACATATTTAACAGGTTATACACTACTCTATACGGCTATCTTTCAAATGTTAATCTCTGAGAGTAGCATTTCCTCTACTCAGCTCTGAAACAAATGTTTTTTGCAAAAAGGTGGTACCACTTTATTCAAATCCATTACAAATGTCAGGCTATGAGGATGGCAAAGTTCTATTCAGCTATCTTACAAAAGTTATGCTCTTATATGGCATAATCAATCCAGCTTTCTTAGAAAATTAGGCTAGAAAAGGAAAAGGGATATACAACATAAAAATGTTGGACTCTAGGAGTGGAACTACTCTATTCTACACTATTGCTAATGTTAGGCAAATATATAACCACCATTCTATATATTTAAATATCTTAAGCTAAAATGTTTTAATCTGGGAATGGCGATTTCTCTATTCATAAATATTAAATTTAAATTAGAAATTATATTATAAAACCGATAAAATTCAACTCTATTACATATATTTATAATATAGGTTGGAATCACTATTTTAAAAATTAAAAAAATATCAACTTCAAATATTAATGATTTCTTAATTAAATTTTAGGCTCTGAAATGAAACCACTCTATAAAACTATTACAAATGATATACTCTGAGGATGCAGCACACTATTAATTCTTTAAAATGTTTACAATTAAAAATAAGAATGAAAACTCTATTCAAACTCTATTAGAAATTTTAGCCACTGGTGTAATAGAACCTTATTCACTTTTATTACAAATTTTAGACCCTGGTGTGACACCACACTATTCGGCTCTATTACAAATGTTAGTCACGGATTGACAATACTCTATTCAGGTCTAGTACAAATGTTAGACACTGGTGTCAAACCGCTCTATTCAGATCGATTACAAATGTTAGGCACTAGCGTAGCACAATTCTATTCAGTTCTATCTCAAATGTTAGGCACGATGGCGACACCAATCTATTCAGGTTTATCACAAAAAATAGAAAATTGAAAATTGAAACCACAAATACTAAAAGGGAAACAAATGAAGGCACTGCTGTGAGTTGATCTAAAAAGTTCTAAAATCTAAAATGAAAAAACCACTAAATTCAGCTAAAATTACAAATGTTAAAATACTGGATTTATTAAAACACTTTATTTACTTTTTAACAGAGGAGAACCCCAAATTTAATATTTATACACTCAATGACACCATTCTATTCTGTTCTATCTGAAATGTTAGATGTCAAATAAAAGTGAAACTGCAAATATTAAAATATAATATAAATAATTTTTACACTCAAGAAAAATTTAAATGTAAAAATTTATCCATGTACAGTTTCATTCTATGGCATTTCAGCAGTAAATGATAAAAAACATTTCTAAACTGAAATCACATCAAATTGAACTTGACGACGACAGTAAGAGGTCAAAATGGATGAAAAGACTAGATTAATTTAAACCAAAAAACCATAAAATAAAAAACAAAAAGGGATAAACACAAATGCATTCCTGTATATTCATTCAACTTTCAACTGATCAATTGTAAATACTTTTTGTAATTCTTTTATTTAACTAATTGACTGGCTGTTATATAGGAATAAAGTGTCACTGCCGACACTTGAGTTTGAACATAGATCGCCAGTGAGCAAACACAGACGATCCCATTATTGAATTAAGTAGACCACGTGACCATGGGAGAAACGCATAAGTAGAATCTAGCGTGACATCTAAACGATCGCTATTTCTAGTCTATCCTCTATTACTATTCGGATCTGCACGTCTATTCAATGCTCTATTACTATATGGACCGCTATTCTCTACTCTATTCACTATACTATTTCTCTATTCAGATCACTATTAGGTAGTTACTATTCGAGCGAGTATTATCGAGCAAGTACTATTAGTGCGAGTGATATTCGAAGGCGTCTGGCACCAGCATTGTTCAACGGCGTTACTATAGTTGTATCTGTATCTTTACTGTAGTTGTATCTGCGATTACAAAGTCTCTTCTACAACGAGCATTAGAAAGTGACAATGAGTATTTGTTGACATCACAAAAGTGACAACGAGTGTTCGTTGACATGAAAAACTTGCTTAATTCGTTGACAATGTAATACATAGCCTTCTAGGTCTGTCGGTAATGTATTTTGTCATTTAATATGAACGTAAATATGGCCTTTCTAGTCTCCTTCATTTTATATCCTTAAACACTTATGCCAGCATAATTTTCGCTTTTCAAAATACCTCTTTCTAATTCACCATCAGCTGCTACGCTGCATTTTCTTTAATCTCGATCATTTTGTTTAGCTTTGGGAAAAAATTGACAGACCGAGTTGATATGCTTTTTGCCAAATAAAAACCACATAAGAGTAACTGTTCTAACTCTGGAGGCCAATTTATATCAAGTCTGTACGACCACTTATTGAGCTATTCAAAATGATGGGATTCCGGACAGACCTTGTATTATTTAGTTATTTCGAGTAGGATTTCTTTTATTTTTATTTAATTTGGTTATTCGTTACATTTTATAACCGGGTTTTATATTTTTCTCTTTTCCTATGTCTGAAAGATTTTTTTTTTATGTATTTACTTGCTTTTTTTATTTCCATAATTGCTAAATTTCTTAATATTTGATCATAAATTCTCCACTGATTCGTCCCCATTTGTTTCGTCACGAATAAATCATCGCGTCGCTACTTCCAATGACAATAAAAAATGACCAAGCTTTTCTCCCTTTCCGTCTGCTGAATGTCGTTTTGATTGCGGGCACCAGGGTGGCTATATAAAACTTAAAATTGGTCAAGGCAAGGATAACAAGAACAAAGAATACATATAAAAATATGCCAAAGTTTATTATTGGCAAATAATAAAATTCAAAGAAATGCAAATGTTTAAAAATTCCCGAGGAAAGCAGTAGCAGGTAATCCAAAAATGAGGAACGACAATAGTTCTTTGTAGCGCTAATAAAAAATTCGAGGAAACAGTTTCTGTAGAGCTGATGATGAGATCGTAGCGGTTGGTATATTATACTGAATCAGTTGATGTGCACAGAAGATATACTGGAACAGATGATGTGCGCAGAAGATATACCGGAACATATGATGTGCGCAGAAGATATACTGGAACAAATAATGCGCGCAGGAGATATACCAGAACATATTATGTGCGCAGAAGATATACCGGAACAGATGATGTGCGCAGAAGATATACTGGAACAAATAATATGCGCAGAAGATATACCGGATAAATGATGTGCGCAGAAGATATACTGAAACATATGATGTGCGCAGAAGATATACCAGAACATATGATGTGCGCAGAAGATATACCGGATAGATGATGTGCGCAGAAGATATACTGAAACATATGATGTGCGCAGAAGATATACCAGAACATATGATGTGCACAGAAGATATACCAGAACATATGATGTGCGCAGAAGATATACAGGATAGATGATGTGCTCAGAAGATATACTGAAACATATGATGTGCGCAGAAGATATACCAGAACATATGATGTGCGCAGAAGATATACCGGATAAATGATGTGCGCAGAAGATATACTGAAACATATGATGTGCACAGAAGATATACCAGAACATATGATGTGCGCAGAAGATATACAGGATAGATGATGTGCTCAGAAGATATACTGAAACATATGATGTGCGCAGAAGATATACCAGAACATATGATGTGCGCAGAAGATATACCAGAACATATGATGTGCGCAGAAGATATACCGGATAGATGATGTGCGCAGAAGATATACTGAAACATATGATGTGCGCAGAAGATATACCAGAACATATGATGTGCGCAGAAGATATACCGGATAGATGATGTGCGCAGAAGATATACTGAAACATATGATGTGCGCAGAAGATATACCAGAACATATGATGTGCGCAGAAGATATACCGGATAGATGATGTGCGCAGAAGATATACTGAAACATATGATGTGCGCAGAAGATATACCAGAACATATGATGTGCGCAGAAGATATACCGGATAGATGATGTGCGCAGAAGATATACTGAAACATATGATGTGCGCAGAAGATATACCAGAACATATGATGTGCGAAGAAACGATACTCCAGTGGATGTTGAGCCTATGGAAGTTGTTTTTCGACACATTTGATTTATTCCTGGGAAAGCTCCAGAGACAAAAATAAAAATAGAAAGTAAGAGGAAAAAAAGGGATATAGAGAGAATCGAAATTAAGCCGAAAAGGAAAAGATATTGACTCCTGAAAAAAGTAAATCTAAAAAGGGGGGGATTTTATAGGGATTTACCTATGTTACCAGAGATAGATAGATAGATAGATAGATAGATAGATAGATAGATAGATTTGATGTGTCCATTCCTCGGAAAGCTCCTGAGACAAAAATCAAAAAAAGACAAAGAGGAAAAGAAGGAATACAGTGAGAATCGACATTAACCAGAAAAGGAAAAGATATTGACTCTGTGCAGAGTAAATCTAAAAAGGCGGGGTGTTATATGCCGTACTTATGAACACTAATGAGTATGTCCTAATCCTCATAAATAGGTTGGACACTATTTTAAGTTGCAGTGTGTGTGTGGGGGGGGATAATATGCTGTCTGAGTAGTCCACCACTAGCAGTGGTTTACCTACTTTACGCCGCTGGCGAGGATTGTATTTTGTTAATGTTATAAAGATCACCATTTAATTTCCAACCTCCGTTTTGGTTATTCCTCCTTCAGTAACCATTTCTAGGTTACAACAGGAATCCGCTTCGGTCTTCTTGCATTCCTATCAAATAGGATCTTGAAACATTTTAATGCAGCGTCAATCGTCATCTTGTCTCCTTGAACCCTATTCTTTTTTACTGTCCTCTCTCTTCTCAATAACATTTGCTCAGTTTTTTTCACTTTCTGTAAACCCTTGCGCCTTAGTGGCTTTATCGTCTTGCTTGGGGTAAAATAATTAAAAATAATAACATTCATTGTTTAACGATGTAAATAATTCAAGAATTTAAACTTCGGCTGACTTATGTGATTAGAATGCTCTTAGCTTTTTTAGTATCTAATTTTAGTGGGTTTGGAGGATATCCAGTCACTTTAATTTTTTTACGACGAAACAAATTTTCTTTTGTAGAATATTTGCTGGATATTTTGTCATTTTCATCCAGTATTGTGTTGTGCTAATTCATCTGAAAATATGATAGTTTGCGAAAAACGCCAACAGTTTTTGCTTTCTCTGACTAATTTAATTTTTTTTTTCTTTTTGGCTGCTTTTTCACTTACTGAAGATAAGCTCTAACTATATTATGGCTGATTTGGACACATTGCGATTTTTATCGCGGTGTACTCGAAATTTCGTCAAGCAAAAACGGTTTTTGGATTGCCCATGTTGACCTGAACACGAACACTATGATTCTTCGGTTCATTTTCGAAGCCATGTGGTGTTGGCATCTTCTCAATTGGTTGAATGATATTATACAGTACACTTCTTGGACTAATCCCCAGGTTTTTTTTTATTGTTGTTATTAACTTCATCTTTTGTTTTCTGTTTAATTAGGAAAATACCTTACAGAATCGTTACTCGTGAGTCAAAATAGTAAATATATAGTCTGTTTGCGCAAATTCTGATGTTAAGTGACACTTAATATTTCTAATGTTTATAATTTCTTTACATTGATTTTACTCTAGTAGTAGTGGTAGTAGTAGTAGTAGTAGTAGTAGTAGTAGTACTGGGTGACGCTGAGATATTTTAAGAAGGCCAATATATCCATGATGTTATCCAGTCATCAGAGATCTTTCTAACTGAGCCCGACCTGCAAGGTTATCCGTAGGTTTTTATGAAAACCTGTAAACATTTGCCTATGAAGCCTGTGCTAGATTTACCCTTATCAATACCAAGCACATGCAGCACAGCGAAATGTTCGTAGGTTTTGATAAAAAGCTGCGGATGACCTTGAAATTAGAGCCGGCTTAGAAATATCTTGGTTTTGGTAAAGCAGTCAGCTGAGACGATCTCCGATTGAGGGGCGTTCCCAAGTATCGAGAAGTGACTTACAAATCACTTTCGGTACTTGATCGTTCAAACTAAAACAAACAAAACAAAAAAAAAAAAACAACTTAGCTCTCGACATTTGGCCGTACACCCGCTCATGAGCAGAGATAGGGGACACACTCAACTGATTATGGTCAGGCAACTGACAAGCAAATCTGTGGTACTAAACAATAGTTACTGTGGCCCATCTCAATTCACCAGACAAAACCTGTTAACACCTCCGATCAATTACGATCAGAAGCAGAGAGAGCCATGCTTGGTGTAGCATCTTGGAAATTTATTATTATTATTATTATTAGTAGTAGTAGTAGTAGTAGTAGTAGTAGTAGTGTTAGTAGTATTATTATTATCTGAAGAGAAGTAAAGGAGAGACTGTATGATGATGGTGTCAGATTTGCCAATTATTATTATTATTATTATTATTATTAGCGCGGTTCTTTATCTGGTTTATTCTCTGGTTTTCATGAAGTGAAATCTTCGACTTTGCTGATATCAGAAATCTGAGGCTACAAGAAAAGCCTTTCACCACTTTCTGTAGAAAAATGTATCTTTGTTTTTCCTTTTATCAATCTTAATCTCATTCATATTTATCCTATAATCATTGTCATTTTAGAAAATCAATGGCTTCCGTAGTATTCGAAATATTCGATAATATTCGATCATAGCGCCGAATGGGTCATCAGTTCTTGTTCTGATAAATCTTTTGTCATTCGTCGTCCTTTTCCTTAGTATTAATAACTTTACTATTTACACAATACTAATGTTATATTTAGTACTAATACTAGAATTACTAACATAAGGCACATAGATGATTTTGTGCTGATGACAGTCTCAGACCAAAAAAAAAATGCTTAAAGAACTCTGAGACAGGTTAGTAAAGGAAAGCAAGAAGAAGAGACGAACTATTAACTGCAAGAAGACAAACTTCATGGTTGCCATTAAAGGAAAACACCCAAAGGTGTGAGCAATGTATTTGGGAACGTCTGAATAAAACAGGCACAAAATTGAATTTATCTGGTGTGTGTAGCAACAGACGACAGAAAATGGGATAGAGAAATCCGATGGCGCATAAGACTGGCGAACGATGCCTTTCAGAAATTAAGCAAAGTATTAAGGAATCAGAAAATTTCCTTAGAAATAAAGAAAAGGGTGTTAAACTTCTATGTAATATCTAATCTCAGTTATATATCTTCTCGCCGATAAAGAAGAGACTTGAAACGAGATTTGGTTCTACTGACGAATGCTACGAACAAAACATGTGAAAAACGAAAAAAGGTTTGTTTTTTTTAGCAAAATAGGAACTGCAAAGAAACTGATAGCTCCATCCAGAAAAATATAGCTGACATTTTTTGGTGTCACATAATGAAAAAAGAAGTCTTAGCGAATTTAACACTCACAAGACATATTAAAGACAAAAGTAACGTTCGCGGTGGGGGGACAACTAGTAACCTACTTGACGAGTTTTAGTAAATGGATGGTAAAGGCTAAGGGAAACAAAAGACAAGAATTTATGGAGAGTCATGATGCCCACGTCCTTAAAGGACATGACAGACAAAAGTAAAGTATTAATATTTTTTCATCTCTATCATTATTAATTATTGTAAACATTATTTTGTACCTTCAGACGTCGAGTATCTCGGGACCATTACTGAAATTAATCGACAGTAAGTTTCCTCAAAATGCTCACTGATTTCAACGGTCCTGTCACTGCTTCTTCGAATCTTTAGCTGTTCCAGTCTCTTCAAAAAGAGTTTATGGAACTATTTACGCGTAATTTGCTTTTTAAGCCTCGCGCTAAGTATGAAGTAAAAATTTTTGAATAGCTATATCTAAGTGTAAATTTGCATGCTTAATTCGAAACTAACAAAGAAATTTTGCTAAAATCTATCGTTTGGGAGTTATCGAGAATAAAATTTCGGACTCATTCGCTACGGCACGACAACCATTACTGGCGTTGTTTGTATACATTCACAGCTGAATAGACATGCGCGGAAGATTACCTTGTTAACGCCCTTTTTACTGATCTTGCTTCAATTACTGCGCAACTGAGGACTCATTGTGTGCGCAATAATCAAGACAAGTTAATGTCAATTCAGCGGCAAATATATGCAAACAACGCCAGTAATGCCTGCCGCGACGCGAATGAGTCCGGAATTTTATTGTTGATAACTCCAAAACGGTAGATTTTATCAAAATTTCTTTGTTATTTTCAAATTAAACATGTACATTTACACCAAAATATAACTATTCGGGAATTTTTGTTGCATACTTAGCGCAGGGCTTAAAAAGTAAATTACCCCTATTTTCGACGTTCTAATTACTATGAGCTCAATAATCAAATTTATTATAATTGTCATTATTATTATTATTATTATTATTATTATTATTAGAAACAATCAGAGAAAAGCGCGATTTCAGAAAAGAAGAAGAAAAGACAGCGTTTGACAATGATCAACAATATTTTACTAGTATGTGCATCTTTCTTTAAGTTCTGTTTAAAAATGGTATGCAAGTATATAAAACTCCACAAAAAATATAAGTCTTTGTATAAACGTCGCTTGTCGTGGGAAAATGGCTGTACTGGTAATCAACGTGTCAAAATGAATGAAACACAGCCAGCATTTATTATTATTATTATTAATAATAATAATAATAATAATTATTATTATTATTGTCAGTATTAGTAATAGAAGTGGTACTTATTTATTTTTAACCTGTTTTTTTTTTTCGCCAGAGATTAAATGGCAATAAATTTTCTCAAATATCCAGCACTTATTTCAAAACTTTTACTGATTTTGTGCATATTTGAATGGTTTTAAATGCATTTCCATTTCTCCGAGACATATTGCGATAATCTTCAAGAGCGGTGCAGGTGTTTCATTGATTATAGGGACTACTTTCACTTTTATATTTCGCTTTTACATATAAGGTACACTCTCTCTTTCTCTCTCTCTCTCTCTCTCTCTTACTTTCTTTTGCTCTCTTCCGTTTTCTTTTCTTCATTCATAAACAAACCTACCCATACTCAAACTTAAAAAAGAAATACAACTCGATAAAAATCCGTTCATACACACGCATGCGCAAATATAAAATAAGAACCACGTGACCATGTCAAAAAAAATGATGTTGTGCGCCAATTGGGAATGTCGTTTCGATGACGTCGTTCCACTCAGCTAAAATGGATTTTACTCATCAACTCGTGAGGCCGTCACTCGAAATGCTACTTAACTAATTTACTTCTTTTTTTCTTTCTTTCCGTCCGTATTTTTCTCTTCATATTTTTTGCAGTTAATTTTTTGAATGGATTTCACCTTCAATATGAATCATTTCCACTTTTGTTGTTCAGACGAAGAAACTCCCACAGAAAGAAATCCCCCTGCAGAGAGAGAGAGAGAGAAAGAGAGAGAGAGAGAGACAGACAGACAGACAACGGAGGAGGGTACATACACATCTGGTTTGTGCACACACATAACTACACAGGGAAAAAGGAATACACATTCAAACACGCACATATAAAATGAATTACGCACACACACACATAAATACACAGAATACATTGTACATAACAGAGCAAGTGGATAGTGGCATCATCATACACAGACATTCATTCCTTCTCTTTCTTCCTCATTCGCCACGTATTCTTTTGTCCGTCTCACACGTAAAATAAGTATGTAAGCACAGAAGTACAAAGGATGAAAGTAACTCCGAAAAACATTCTTATAGGTAATCAATATTCGATTAACAAACAACCGTGAATAAAATTGTCAATATTTCAATGTTTTCGTAAAATACATCTATTGGATTCATCAGTGATGTTTATATATCTTCGTGATAAAAATCAGTTTTTTAATCCCAGCTGCAAATATAGAGGAAATAATCTTTGACCCAGTTTTTCTCGCTTCGTATTTTTGAGGTTATTTAGGGTTGAGAAGCCTAATTCGCTTAGATAAGAAATAGAAAATTGCAATAAAATTGATAAAGACTCTTTAGCTAATGTGGGATATACCTTTTGTATTGAAATCCCAAATATGTCAATGGGTGCCGTCGGATGTTTTATTTTGAACCGTCGATCACTAGAAATGGTAGCCAATTCTTCTTCTTCTTCTTCTTCTTCTCATAACTGAAGACCAATATTAGAATATGATGACGATGATGATAATATCGATGATGATGATGATGTCGATGTCGATGATGATGATGATGATGATGATGTCGATGATGATGATGATGATGTCGATGATGATGATGTCAATGATGATGATGATGATAATGTCGATGATGATGATGATAATGTCGATGATGATGATGATAATGTCAATGATGATGATGTCGATGATAATGATGATGATGATGATAATGTCAATGATGATGATGATGATAATATCGATGATGATGATGATGATGTCGATGATGATCGTAACTCAGCTCCTACTCGCAGCTTAGTGAGACGACACTTTCCTTACCATTATTCCAAGAAGCGCTGCCACTTGCACACTCCCAATGATGTCAGATATCTTCAAGGTGTCTTTGCGACGCAAAAAGACATTCTTGGAGACAGTTCCGAGTACGCCAACCACAAAAGGGACAACTTCAGCTGATGCTTGGTACGTCTCTCCTATTGACCGGCCATATTTTGGCACCTTTGTAATTTATTCTGCTCCGCCATCACGATATTCTTATCCCAAGTCACCCCAACGTCAATTATGATCCATTCATAGCTGCTCTGTGTCAGGGCGATTGCTTTCCAAGCGCTTGTCAGTGAAGATGGCCGTATCTCATGTGAGCTGAACTTAACTTTCCTTTCGAATAGTAAATTGTCAAGATATTTTTTTTCTTTATGTGGCGAAGAATTTTTGGTGTGGAAGAACACAAAAACTTCATCTGAGAATTTGTTCATCACCAAAGATGCTTCGACAAATTATCACCAAGACAACAATTGTTTACAATGCTTGAATAATGATGATCTCTTGTGCTTGAAAAAATAATCATTGAAAATTAAATTTCGCCAGGGTCTCTTCCTTCTTCTGAACATAAATCTCTAACATGCGTATTTTTGCTTTCACCAGTTGGGCACCTGTTGCAGTGCTGGTGGCAAGATGGTCAATTTTCAAATATAAATTGTCTATCCATTTAAAATATTACATTTATTAAAATATATATTCAGTTATAAAACACATACACTTCAAAGGGATTGCTGCCATACAATAAAGAAATTAGACATCGCAACTCAGTGTCTATTTCAATTTCAATCAAATTGTATATGTGTTTGTGTGTATGTGTATGTATATGTGCGTGTGCATTTGTTTGAGCGCATGTATATTTTAATTTAATGACAGTGAAAGATATTTCTACAAAATTAAAAAAAATAAAAATTTTTAAATAATTCTACTTATTACCGAATAATTTCCGAAAAGTTCAATAAAATTTTAAAATTATATGATTTTTTAGAGTTTAAAAAATTAGATTTATCAATTTTTTGTCTCCAATTTCATAATTTTATTGCTCAGTTTATGGTAGGAGTTGCCCAGTCTGAGTGGAAGGGAAATGTATTATTATTGAGATTCAGTTACAGTCTCCGCCTAGATTTCATTATAATCGCCGTCAACGACGAGATTTCATTATAGCATTCGACGAGATTTCATTATTGCTTCCGGCGAGATTCCATTATAATGTCGATCAAGATTTCATTATAGTCGCCGTCAAGATTCTATTATACACTCCGTCAAGATTTCATTGTCGCCTCTCGTGAGATAATATTATAGTCTCCGACGAGATTTCATTATAGTCTCCGGCAAGATTCTCTTATATTTTTCGACGAGATTTCATTATATTTTCCGACGAGATTTCATTATATTCTCTTACAGGATTCCATTACTGTCTCCTACGTGACTCCATAATTTTCACCAACAACATTCCATTATAGCCTTCAACGAGATTTTATCATATTCCCCGACGGGATTCCTTACTCGTCTCGGACGAGATTCAATTATAGTCTCAATCAAGCCTCCATTATAATCGCCATCAAGATTCTGTTATAGTCTCCGTTATTGTTTTCGCCGAGGTTCCATGATAGTCTGCAGCGAGATACCGTTATAGTCTCCGTCAAGATTCCATTATAGTTTCCGACGTTATTTCATGATAGTCTCCGACGTAATTTCCCTATATACTCCGACGGAATACCATTATAGTCTCTGACGAGATTTCATTATGGACTCAGACAAGATTACATTATAAATTCCGACGAGATTTTATCATATTTTCAGGCGAGATTCTATCATAGTCTCTGGCGAGGCCCCATTATAGTCTCCGTGGGGATTTCATTTTAATCTCCGATGTGGTTCTGTTATAATCACCGACGTCATTTTTCTGTAATACTACTAGTACATTTAAATAAATGTATAATCTATGAAACGACCAGAAAAGATAAGTAATAACTATATAGTTATTTCTGAATGACAACAGCCAGGACGATCCGTATCCTAATTGTTAAAATAGCAGTCATTTTGAAATCCCAAATCCTATCAAAAGTGTGAATTCGTAGAATGAAAAACGAAAAATCCAACTGAAACAAGACGGAAAATTGATTTATTTTAAAAAATCTGAAGAAAAAATAACTATTTGAGAGAAAGAAATTCAATTTCAAAGTTAAAAGCAGAAATCACTCGTTTATTCACTAGCACAGACTTTCCAACCAAATCTCACATGTCGAGTATCTTCATGATAATCTCTATCGATATTCCCTTATTGTCTCCGGCAAGATTCGATTATAGTCTCCGACCGGATTTCATTATAGTCTTCAAAGAGGTTTAATTATAGTCTCCAACAAGATTTCATTATAGCCTCTGACTAGATTTCATTATCGTTTGCGGCTAGATTCCATTATTGTTACCGAAGAAATTTCATTATAGTCTCAGAGAAGGTTCCATTATATTCTCTGAAGAGATTCCATTATAGAATCCGACAAAATGTCATTATATTCTCGGGTGAGATTCCATTATATTTTCCGACGGGATTACATTATAATTACCAATGAGATTTCATTATTGTCTCCAGTGATATTTCCTTATATTCTCCGATGGGATTCCATTATAGTCTCAGACGTGTTTCCATTATAGACTTCACGAGATTTCATTATAGTTTTCGACGTGAATTTATTATTGTCTCCGACAAAATTCTATTATAGTCTCAGTCAAGATTCTATTAAAGTCACCAACGACATTTCTCTTTAATACTGCTAAGGCATGTAAATAAATATGCAATCTATGAAACTGTCGGCGCTATGTACTTATATCTGAATGAGTGCAGCCAGAAAGATCTATATCCTAATTGGTAAAGTAGCTGTCACTATACAGTTCCGAGACATGTCATAAGTTCATTCTTCATTCTCGATCTATGTTTCATAACAGTCGTAGAATGATAAATGAAAAATGCAATTGAAACAACAAGGAAAATTGTTTTACCGTAATTCGCCATGTATAATACGCATTTTTTTTATAAAAAACAATAAGCAAAATCAGGGTTGTGTATTATGCACAGCTATAAAAAAAAGTCTATAAAAAATTGTCGTAAAATAAAATAAGAATTATCATAAAACTAAATTAGAATAATATTATTCTATGTTTAAAACCATTATTTTTTAAATAAGAGTAGGAAACTCTGGCCGTAATGAAATTGGAGAGGTACAATTTATAGGGTTTGATTACCAAACAAGGGGTGCGTACTATGAGTAGAAGCATTTTTCCTACATTTTCAGCACAATTTTAGGTGTGTGTATTATAGATGAAGGCGTATTATACATGAGGAATTACAGTATTTTTTAAAAAACCTGAAGAAAAAAAAATTATTCGGGAGAAAGAAATTCAATTTTAAGGTGAAAGGCAGAAATCACTCGTTTATTCACTAGCACAGACTTTCCAACCAAATCCCACATGTCGTGTATCTTAACAGCTAAATCTGGAAAGACAAAAGATTGCTTTGAGCACGACCAGGCTGCTTATCCGCTTGCTCAGATTAAGGTCGGTAATGATAATCATTCAAAGAGTACGTGTGTATGACTTCAGACAAAAAGGGATTTTTGCATAAAAGCTGTCAATAAAGTAAAGGTGGCAGCAGCAGCAGCTGCAGAATAAAATATAAATGGTGTTCTGTTGCTCTGAAGTCAGAAAAACGACTCCAATAAAAAAATAAACATAAAGAAAAAAACATAAAATAAATAAATAATCAGAACTACCAATTCTACAACTAAAAATAAATTGTATCTATGTGATTCACTAATTATATTAAACGTCTGTAATTGATTGCATATTCGGGAATTTGTAAAATCTACAATAACCAAGTGATATTACAATGAAGAATTAAATATCTATTTCTCGATACCCGATTACATTTTCGCTATTCAAGCGATCAAGCAGACCTTCTCATTGACAGAGGGGCCAATAAAAAAAA